TGATTTATTTTGTTTTTGTGAAAACCTGTATCTCAACTGTAAATCAGTTGCTATTTCGTGGTCTACAACATAAAAGAAAGCCATTATAACATGTACATGAAAAGTGTAGAAACATTGGACACAACTATGGGGCACCATTGTGCAGCAGCAAGCATCACAACCAAAAAGGAACCTCAAGTTTGATCTAGGAAAATGTGTGCAAATGTATAGGGCCCCATTCCTATATTTTGCCTGGGGCCCCCAATTCACTAAATCCGCCCCTGTTTGTATGGCATAGAAACATAAAAAAAAAACATGCATATGATCAGACAAACCATAATTGTATACATCAATGTTGCTAGGCCCAGAGACAAGAGTCAAGACCAAGTCCAAAATATGGCCTTGCTCATGGGTTCATGCTCATAACACCTAATTTCAACATTTTATCTGTAGGCCTATTGTGATTTCTCAGCACACTACTGCCAGAATTAGTCCAATTTAGAGATGACATTACATTAAAATGTATCACTGCGATTTCATTTGCAGTGGCAGGTGATGTCCCTCACTCAACATTACAACAATTGAAATAAGCTTTCAGTAAGGCTAACAGCCGTGATTTATTCATGATACAGCACAGCCTCTCGTACCTTATTGCTTTTATAATACAGTTACCACACAATTAAAAAATTTTAAAACCACAAATTTTTGTATTGAAATGTTACTTTTATTAAGCAAGTTCGTTAAATGCTGTCCTTCCACTAAAAAATAGTTCCTGACAGCAACAGTAAATGGCAAGAGAATGTTCAGAACATGCCTCATCTAATGGAGCTTAATAGAGTAAAAGTTTTATCATTTGTATGTGTTTACAAACTCAATCGATTTTAAAACAGCGCAAGAAGAGCAAAGAGCAAACAACAGAACAAACACAGCTTTGACAAAGATTAATCCATATTAATTTATACAGTGAACACACTCAGAAAAATTGGAGAAACTGAGGAGGAGTTTCAACATCTGGAAAAGATCCGGAGCGGTCACCAGGTAATACTAATCCCGTGCGAATAGGGTTTAAAGTTGTCTTTCGCGTCTGATTGATTTTGCGTCTAAAGCCCTATTCGCACGGGATTAGTATTATCTGGGGACCT